GCCGTTTGACACCGGACACTTATCTTATTTTTAACACTTATCACTTCATTATATAAATTTACTTTTATGTATATAATATAGATGTCTTAGAAATTAGGCTGATTGTATATCAAAAAAGATGCCCGCATCGTTAAATCACATCGGATGGATCGCCTTTTTTGGGGTTTTTACTTAAAACCTAAAAATTATTGTTTCCTTTTACGTATCTTCATTCACCACTTATTATTCATAATAGGCTTAAACATGTACATTAAGTTAGTTCGCTTGTCATTGAAGATTTCATAACATTTAATATGTAACACTTGATGGCAAGAGGGCATTTTTACTATGTGTAAACAAAACGAATAATACAGTAAAAAAAAAAATTTTTCTTAACTATTGTTGTAAAATTGTTAAAAAGACCTAAATTGATAAAATTTGTTGATGAACTTTGTCACGTAAAGAGTAAAAACTTTGAGACGCCGTATTTTCTACAATTAATTTTTAGGTTTCAAAATACACATCATTATTAAAAAGAGGACGTCAAGTATTTATTCGGTATCCGGTGTCAAATGGCTTTTTCACAATGTCGTTGGACATATACCACACTTCTCTTGATACTATGAACATCAATGTGCAATCAAGTGGTACATATGATTTTATTACCGCACTTTTTAAACATCTACCGAGACCATATTCCTCTGTCCTTCGTGATAATACACAATATTATCTACTTCTTCGCCATAGTAATAATTATCACCACTTTCAACAGATATACAATTTATGTAGATACATACGATTGGTATGTACGTATAAAATTGCATATCTGCATTTATGTAATATTTTAAATATATTTTTATTCTTTTGACAGTATTTCATGTCGGTGAATGATCGCACAGGGGATTATTACATTAGTAACTTTTTATTGGCTCGGTTTGCGATTTGACGAATTAATCTTATTATAAAGGCATGTTTCACAAGTAAAACCAAAAGCCTGTGTTACTCAAATACTTATTTACTCATTCCCGCAAAAAAAGCACCAAGCTTGCGTNTTTTTATTATTATATTTTTAATATAATAATATATTACAGTTGGATTGCTCATTGTCAATTCATCAATTATCACATTTAGTACAATTTGAAAAATATTTCTAACATCCACGTCGTTAGGAATGCAGCACGCAAGAGACACGTACATAATTATGTACAGTAGTCAGACGCGAAAATAAAAAGTAGTTGATAGATTCGTAAGAATTCTACGTTGAGCAAAAAGTTAAGGCGGAAATGGCTTTTCTGGGACTATTTTTATTTTTCTTTTTTCGTTCTTAAATTTTTTCCGTTACGTAAGTACTTACGTGTGTTTTATCTTTCTATGTTGCCCTCTTTGTTCCGCGACACTCGCATGCTGCAATCTGTGACTTGTAACATTTAGTTTGTGTATACATATAATATGTACATATATATTGTGTATTTACATAAAATTTTTTTTTTTATTCAATCCACAGATAAACGACAATAATACGACCACTGAACAAATTTTATTTTATTTATATATGTATGTGTTTACTTTTCATCTTTTTTAATGAAGATCGCAATATCCTTCCCTCATATACTTGCACATTTATTTTTCTCTCGTAGCAGAGTGATTGCAAAATCTCTCACCATGTCTTTATTACTGTTTTTTTTCCAGTATATACGAATTTCTTACTTATGTTTAGAATTTAATTATTTATGGATAATATTCCCTTCCCAAACAAAACATGGACGATTGTGTATTATAGTTATCTGTTGCATTTGAAATGGACGAAGAATAAGAGTTTTGTAGTTTACATTTACTTTTCTCAAAACACGCGTCGGTTCTTTACCCTCTTTTTTCATTATTAGGCAAGTGACATTTACTGCTGTCGTATTTGCCACTAAAAATATTATCATGGAGTATTTGCACTTTGGTTTCTTTTCTCTTTTATCTATTTTTGGTCATATTACGAATCTTTGAATGTATTTCATTGTCTTTTTTATTTTTATCATTGTCTTTTTTTATATTTCCATTTAGCATATAAAATACATCTAGATTTATATTTATATTTACTGCGTTCAGTGGTTGAAACTTTTGCTGGTTTATCAAGAAATTGAGAGAAGTAATATTGACTGTAAAACGTTTTATAAAATATAATTATCCTTATTGAACTGCTTTACTTTAAAATCTTCACTCCGCTCGAATAGAATTATTCGACATCTAAAGAAGGATTGACAAATGTTTTGCTGTAAGTGGTTTAGTTTATTTAAAGACTTTCAGTTAGTTAGAATCAATGATGTTTGTATGTATTATCAATAATTCTCTTTGTTGTTATAATTTTTTATCATCGGAAAAAATTACAATTTTTTTTTAAAAGTATTCAGTAACATACCGGTTCAGCATATCGCATTTTGCAACCGCGCTGCGCGACTTTCTTTTTTTACATTTATTCATACTTTAACACAGACACGGAAGGAATTCTACTGAAATTTCACAATTAAATTTTCACATTTTGCGTAAGTTGGAGAAGGGTAAGGGATCTCGTTTTTATGCTAAAGTTTCGAAGATAGTATTAGACATTGAAAAAACACCAAGACATTTTTTGTTATTAGAGGAGAGACATAAATGTAGGAGAGAAAGTAGAAGAGTGTACGTGTATAATGTATAGAAACTCGAAGACGTTTATCCACTTCTTTACTATTTTCATTTTCCTTCATGCCTAAATCTGATTAAGTTCTAAAATTTACTATTCAAGTAGTCGCGCTCCGTATACGGACGGAATGGCCGACGGACATTAAGAATCGAGTGACCTCTGTTTCGTTATATTGCACGTTTTTCATCTATTAATTTTTTTTCCTTTTGACTGACTACAAATTTCTTTACTTTTATGTATTCATTTTTTTTTGTTTCTGGATAAACTTTGCATAATTAGTGTGCGTAATTTAAAAACTAAGTCACAAACTTATTGATGTGATATCATTATCAGAAAATTTGTACTTGTTGGCACAATATTCTCGTTAAAAGTTATTACGATCGCAGCGGCTAGTTATAGCTTCCATTTCGATGATATTACAGTTATTATTGTTTTTTTTTGTGTATTTATTTTTTTAATAAAAAATTTTAAGACGATGGAATTAAAATGTTGCAATAGTAAAATTACTCTTCGAGAACAAGAAGTGCCAGCTTAGTAGCTTAAAAACGAAGCCCTTAGAAAGTCACAAAATATCACATATGATAATATGGAGAGATTAAAATTAATTTACTATGATTTCATTAACCCCTTGAGAGCCGCTATGCGCATGGATAAAGTAATTAATTGTATAGACGATATTTACTGTATTTAAATCAATTTTATAGTATAATCATAATTTTTAATAATTTATGGAATAATATACTTCTAATAAATAGAAATCTGCTTTACAATGTTATATTTCAAGGAGTCAAAGTGAAATTTTAAAAAACGTAGTATAAATATTTATTAGTTCATTTAAATATGAAAAAAAAATCTTGAATGAAGCAACATGAAAAAATATTGTCAAATTCATAGCTATTCTCCAAATCAATCGAAACCATCTATTCTCGATTTTTGGACGGACATCAAAGAGTTAGTGAATTAGAATCGAGTTCCTTTTCGTATCGTGACAGTATAATAACAGTAGTAAAAATATTTTATTTCATTACCGACATAATACACATTATTTCTTAAGACTCGGCTCATTCCGCGTCTCTGTTTGTTCACATTAATAAATTTTACCTTATTACAGCGTTTTCCAGTTGAGGTTAATTTTTTTCTAGATTTGAAAAAGTTATGAACCCGTTATTCATCTGGTTATTATCTTAAAATGTACACCCATATAATTTGAAGGCTTTTTTTATAACATATCCTCGGAACATCAATAAAACCAGTTAAAAACATTGTATATAATACAGACATACGTACTCGTCGTTCTATGTTATCTATTCAACTGAACACACTGTAATTATAGATCTGATGTACTTGCTTGACTGTGTTAAAATTCATCCCCATCAGTATCTAGTACTGGTACACCCAATACCCTACTCTACATAAATTTTTAAATTACAATTGTGTATAGATAACATATACGATTACAGTATAATCATCGATACTTTTTTTTTCTTAACGGTTTATATCACATCTGATCGTTCAGTCAATATAGGAAGACCTTCGCCTCACCTACGCGTGCGACTTTTCATCTCCTTTATTTTTTTATTTTTACTTTTTTAGGCATGTTTTTTACCTAGCACCCGCTTGTTTAAAAGTTTTTATATTTTCGCGATTTATGACTGTCTATTAGAATTTTAAGTTTAAAAATTTTTCTTATTTCTTAGCTGCCAAAAAATCAAAGTAACTGTATATTGCAATTGTTGTATGTTATGATAATTGAATTACTTTAGAAAAAAATTACATTCTCAATTAAAGAAACAGAAATTCAAAAATAAATACCTGAACCGTTAGTAATATAACTTATGAACAAAAAAATTGTAACAATTGCAATATTTTTTTAGTTGTGTGTAAAAATATTTACTTTAAATTTGACCCGAATTTTTTGTTTTTATATTAAAATTTACTTGATCATTAACTACTACATCTAAACAATGAGAATTTTTTAAATTCACATTAATATTATTTTCGTAAAAATTTCAAATCGCCACTAAATACCAATATAGTACACTTATTATGCATAAATTCTTATTGTAGTACAAATATAGGAACATTCATTAAATATATCTTTATTCATAATACAATATTATCGTCATGTAGAATTTTTTATCATTCTATAATAATATATGCTCATTATTTTCATATTCTGGTTTTTGGTGTTGTATTTTATATTAGTTTTAGACGTGATCAAAATGCCCTGTTGTTCCGTGACGTTTAACTGAATTTTTATACATGTTTTAATATTTATATCATTTTATATTATACTTAACTAAAGTAGCACTTGTGGTTCAAATTTCAAAAATTAGGTTTTAAAATTATTATCTTTTTTTTTTTCGATGTTTTTCTATTTCTGAACGCAGGCTCTTATCTCACGGGTAGAAGCAAAAAATTCGTCGGAATATTAATAGAAAATCGAATGAATGTATGGTTGTCATTTATTACATAATACATTGTTTGTTCTACCGGTCGTCACGGAAATAATCATAATCTTATACATCAAGTGGTAATCGAAGTGAGAGCACGAACTTAAAAATTTCGAGTGCACTAGGCAAACCGATTTTTTTTAAAACAAAAAAAAAATTTCTTTACAATTACGTTGCTAAATTTTATGTGCGGTTTTGTAAATGTAATATTGTTATCGCATGTCAATTTATCGTTGTAAACAATCAACCTATTGAAAATAAAGAATCAAAACCTAAATCAAGATTCGAAAACCCAAAAGAATTGCTGGGTGCTAATTTTTTTTTTTTTCAACTACCAAAATATGCACAAATCATGGCAACTGTTTTAAAACTTTGTGCATATTTTTTGTTCTTCGACCTTATTATCACTATCAGTATGTTTATCGGACCCATCACGTTCAGCTACTTGCCGGTTAGGTTTCCAAGGTGGAGGGACGATTTTTCGATTATTTTTATTTCTACCTACATTCCCCGCATTTTGAGATCAGATCTCTAAAACTTCTTTGGCATACTATGTGTCTCCTGTTCTACACTAAGTTTCATAACATTTGTAACAAGAAATAAAAAATAAATAAACAATAAAGTTCCAAAAAATTTCAATCTTATTCGTGACAGCACGAATCAATAACCTTATAACTGTAACTATATAAAATACCTTCTCCTTCAATTAAATACCGGCGCAATCGCTTTGGCGAGGTTATCTAAATAATATTTATCATCAACTATTGCAAATAAACTTCACATTGCACATGTACGCTAGGCTCCTCGTTTTATCTTCCTCCATTCTTTTTTCAATCGTCATACTATTGCATAACCACGTCACATTAAATCTGAAAAGTGCATCCCGTGTGCAATGCCCAATAAAAATACATTTCCATCAATTTCTTTCCGTATTTCGATTCATCGTATTACGTGGCAGCCAGTTTTTCCTCGTTCCCCACGGGACTTGAAGGGATTCACGCGTTAGCCAAACGTTACATCGTTAGCGCAAAGTACGCGCTTACAAGACGCGGTTCGCTCGCTTATCGGGTCTGAGGGCGGCTATATATTCTATACTTTCCAACGTAACGAAGCTACCTCGTGCCTGCTTTCGACGGGAGCGCGTTTGTGCGGCGCAACTTGCGGGCTTTCCAGCGTTACAAGCGCCTCTGACACTTTGTTCGCCCTCGCGCGTTATTGAAACCACAACTTCGTGTGCAGCGCCCCTGGTAAGTATATATACTTATTGCTTTGATGAAGTGCGCCTAATTATATTTCGACATAGGTTCATTATATTACACGTTGCAAATATTAATAGCAGGCATGCAACTGATGTAAATTCGATGCTGACTATGATGTTGTGAATAAAAAAATTGTATTAATCGGCTGGTCATGTTGGGCATGAATTTTGTGCCCGTTTCGCTCCAAGCCAAGATAAAGTGAGAACAACAAAAGGGTCGCGAGATTAGTAGAGAAGTTCGCGGCAAAGTTTAAGGCTTACGAGTCCAAGTTTCCTCCCCTGCGCATAATATGTACTTTCGCTTCTTCTTGGCGTGGGTAGCAGAACGTGGCAAGTTGCACCGCATTTCGTGTCCCCGTCGTCGTCTATCCTACTTCTTCCTTCGCGCATTAAGCAGTGAGTGACTTGTATTATACGTGCAAAACTTGGTTGCAAGGGGAATAACAGTGTGTAAGTACTATACGTTAACACGAGGTAATGTTGCTGTAACGCACGCGCGTTTTAGAACAGGTGTTGGTTGGTGTGCTTCAAGAGGCCTGGCTCTCTTACGTGCAGTGCGTTGTCTCGCGCGATAGGACTAATCGCGTGTTTAGCGGATCTTATGGTTGGTATGGTTGGACGTAGAAACGAAATCAAAAGTTTGCTGGAGGACAAGTATGTTAAAATTTCGACTTTTTTTTTTCTTTTCTCGTGTGCACAAGTGATTACGTGGGCGTTCACTTTTGTTTAATATTTTTCGTTTCGTTGGCACTGATTAAAAGTTTTGGGCTTTACTTTGCTACTCAAAAATGTTTTTGGCCATTTTTGGAAGTTCTCGTTTTTTGGCTAGATCAATATTGTGCGTTAACGAAGTCAACATTGAAATGTAAACAGCTTGCTTTGCAATAAATCGTTAATACACTCTTGAAAAACATTGGCACATGTATTATCACATTCAACTTATCTTTTAATTCTTATACGTTGTATGTACAATGTCACACTTGCTGATGAACTAAAATGAAACAAAAAAGAAAAATTTTAGTTTATAGATAACAATTATACGACTGTAATGTATCGTGTGACAGAAACGTGTGTACCTAATCACAGCAATTAGACCGAAGTTAGAAAGCACTGCCCAATCGTACTTAAAACTCAAACGCTCGTCACCCTAACACTATTTTATTTCGTTTCAATCAGGTTGAAGGGACATTTTTTTGGTTTAGAGGAAATTGTTGGTAGGTGTTTCAACATTTTGAATAATCATTTTTACTCTGATGCTTCACAATTAGGCCATTGCTACGCTCTTTGGTTACATGTTCACTAGCATCGAGTAACATTATTGTTGACTTTGGCTCGGTTTTATCTTCGTTAGGTACTATATTCATTCTCACACAATCTTTCTCACTCCACGACTCGGACTCCTATTTTCGTCACAAACATGTTTATTGCAGGATTCAAGTGATTTATCTCACTCTTTATGGTTGATGTTTGAAAATTTTTACCATCTACGTTTCCAATATACCATTAATTTTCGTCCGAGTGGATGAGTTCGGTAATACTCTTATCGATCTTGAATATCGTTACGCGCACCTCGAGGAAATTGTTCGTAGGCCGAGAATAGTCCCGGTGCGCGAGTCCATTCGTCTCGAATCCAACAAAAAAGCATTAGCGCTCAAAGACGAGGAGAAAAGTGAATAATAAAAAGAAAAATAATGTTTGGTAATCACATAGCTGAGGCTCCACAAAATCCATCACGGAGATTGGTCGTCGATCGACTTGGAGCGCTGTTGTTTTCAGCGCTGGTGTATGTGGGTGGTGAGGTGCTTGGAAAGGTAATCGGCCCGGGCGAAGCATTTGCCGCACATTTCGCAGTGATAGGGTCGCTCGCCCGTGTGTATTCTCAGGTGCCGAGTTAGGTCGCTCTTGCCGCCAAACGCCCGTGAACAGAACAAGCAAACGAACGGCCGCTCCCCCGTGTGCTTGCGCACGTGCAACTTGAGGTTCTCCTTCGAACGGACGCACTTGCCACAGAACGGGCACGCAAAACGCCGCTCCCGTCTGTCCGCGTCGTGGTGATTGTGGTGACTGTTGTTGTTGCTCGGGGTCCGCGCTCGGCCGACAGTCAGGTTCAGGCTCGTGTTGATGTCCACGCTCGCGGTGTTACCCGTCGTCGTTGCGTCCACCTCGATCGTCTCGTCATTCTCGGCGTCGCTGCCACCGCTGATGGGCGCCTGAGCCGTTTGCGCCGCCGAAGCTACCGATGTATGAGCACCACCCGTGTAGTCCTGCTGGTGGGGCGGGGTCGCGGTCTCGCCGGGGCTCTCCTGGACGCTCGTGGTCTCGGAGCCCGCGGTGGTTCCCTCGCGGCTTTCGGGCCTCGTCGGCGTGTCGGCTCGATCGGCACGCGGTTCTCGGTGGTCCCCCTCCGAGTCCATCTGGATGGGACTGGCGTCGCCCGCGCTGCTCGTCTCCAGTTGGACGGATGGCTCACCGGTGCTCGACACCTGGTCGCTGCGTTCGTTCGGGAGCTGTGACTCGCTTGATGGCGGTCGCTGCAGGCGCTCGAGCGCATGGTTCAGCCGGTGTTTCTTGAATGACTTGAGGTACCTGCTCAGTCGAGATGATAATATTGGCGTAAGAGACTGTTGGTATGTGGGGTAAAAAAACACACACACACACACACACACGGCCAGTGGTGCCTCACCTGAACTGCATGCCGCAGACCTCGCAGGTGAAGAGCTTGTCCGCGGGCAGCCGGGCGCGGTGGTTCTGCTCGCGGTGCTTGACGTAGGCCGAGCGGTAGCGGTAGCGCTGGCCGCACTGCTCGCAGGTGAAGGGCTTGTCGTCCCCGGGCAGGCCGGCGTGCTGCAGCAAGGCGTGGCGCTCGAGTAGCCAGGCGGATGGAAAGCTCGCGAGACAGACGCCGCAGCGGCGAGCCAGGCCGGCGAGGCCAGCGGCGAAACCTGCTGAGGTTAGCAAGGCAGCGGAGCCACCCTCGCCACTGGCGGCGGCCGCCCAACTGGCCGATTCGAGGCTCAGAGCCAATGAGACCTGCGAACAGACATGGGGTGCATTGATGCTCTGCGTAGGGTTATCGTTTGGGTTTGGGTGAGTACCTTCGTGAGTTGGTATCGGTTGATCTTGGTACGTACCTTACGTGAACAACTCGACTGGTTTGCAAAACATGTTTTTTTTGAGATTTTTTTTTTAACGTTTGATTTCACTTTTCCACTTGTCAATCGGAAATTTATCTTATCGATGAAATACTTTTTCAATTGTGACGAGTTTTTCGAGTCAATAAAAACAACAATCTAACTTGAAAAATGTATTTCATCGGTAAGGTGAATGTCTTTTTGCAAAAATGATTAATTTAACATGCACTTTATTAACAAATCCGAGAAAAATGTTTGGCTCAGTTTTAATTTGGACCTAGTCTGGTTCAAATTTGACTAATAAGAATTGTGCCATCCTTAAAGAAAAAAAAAAAAAAAAAAAAAACGTTTATGTTTTGTTGTTTCAAGTCTGGCAATGGTGCCACTCAGTCTTTATAAGCTTCGTGCTTTACACGCTTAGCAGGGCAATGAATACCAAGTTTGCACAGCAAAAAAACTAGTTTTCCAAAAATTTAGGCATACGTAATTTAATTAGAAACTTTGAAATTTTTATATGAGGATCTATGTTGTTATTACTAAACTTTGATACTTGCCGTAATTTTTTATTGTATATCATTTGATTATATGAATATTGATTGTCTTGATAAAATGCTAAACAGAGCTATTTTTGACCCATTTAGTTATAAGCTTGAAAATAAAAAAAAATTGGAATTTTCAAATATAATTAATTTTACAAAATAATAAGCTGGAAATGATAAATCAAAAAATTATTCTTTTTCAGCTTACTTTAATGGATATGGCTGCTTCATTGCAACGTTCTTTACGGATAGAGTACATTTTAAAGTTTTAAAACAATAAAATCGGAGATACCATGTTAAAAAAAAAAGCATGCATAAAATTTCAAAAATGTTAATCCACATAGCTACTACACATCAAGAAGATAAAAGTATGAAAAAAGTCAGGATTTAGGAATAAAACAGATGGTAGGGAGGGCGTAAGCAAAGTACACATGAAGACGTAACGTTAACACAAACAGTTTGCAGTTTTTTTTATTTCACAAATTGTTGAATTTACAACTATGATATGCATTCGTTCATCTAAGAACCGAAAGAAACTCGTCCCTCTTTTTTTAAATTTATTCATTTATTTTTATCCCGCATGATGACAAAAATGAGGTAACAGTGCCCAACGAGTCGTGTGTGCTGCGCACAATATATATATATACTACGGGATCCAGCGCACACGAGTGTCGTGCACCGACGATGCGCGATCTCATTGTTATTTTAATGCTGCGCGTCCGTTATCTTAGAAAAACAATTCTTCATTTATTATTTTATTTTATTATTTTTTTTTATATATAAAGCATGGCGCGCGGTTGTATTATTCTTTATTTTGTGGTTTAAAAAAATAAAAAGGCCATCGCGATCGTCGGGCGCGCGACTCGACCTTGTGACCCCGAAAACGTATTTGCAGCTGCCTATTACAATTTTTTTTGTCTACGATTCATGCTATGTATATTTTTCTTTCGCAGTTAGCATTTACTACATTTTTTTCTTCCTCGTCAGCGACGATTTTACCATCGAGCGCATATACAAGACAACGTGGTTTTTTTTTTTTTTACAACGTCGTTTAAATGACAATTTGTATTTGCTTATTCTTTACCTGCAGGTAAACATGTCTTGCATATTCGCTTTCCTTTTTTTTTTTATCTTATAATTAATAATTTTTTTTTTTTTTTTTTTACTTTCACCCCTGTTTTCTCATAAAATTTGTTGTTTCTGGTGCTAAAAATGTACAATTCAAAAATCCCCTACGAGTCGATGAGTTAAGTTTTTTCTGCTTACCTTTATTATATCGACGCATCATATCCTAATCCCGCTTTTATTTCGCATTAACTTGTTTTATATACTGTATATTTATATTATATATACTCGAACGTACAGCAGTCGGATAACTAAACTTACAACAGTCGAGCAACTAAACGAGAGATCTTGTTTTTTTTCATTTGTTTGTCTGTTTGTTCGTTTACGTGTGTTTTGTTCATTCGTATGTTTCAATTTTTTATTCTTTGAACAAAGTTTTTCGTCGCTTGTCCTTGTGTAGGCGCCCTTTTATCTTTTCATACTCGCACGAGTGGTCCTGAATTGAAAAAAAAGAGAAATGTAAAGGACGCGAACGATTAAAATAAAAATGTGTAGGTATACGTTTCTCGTTAATCGAAGCTCGCTTTTTGTTACACTGCAGGTCTGTATGTTTTATAAATCAGATCGGCGTGAAAACGTGAAAAACGTCCGAAGTGACGAGAAGAAGAGACTTACGTATTTATATTTATATGTGTAGCACTTTGGTTTTGAAAAGTTGCTAAAAATAAACCTGGGTCTCTTTTATTGCTATTTGTTGCTTTGTTTGTATTTTTTTATTATTTATTATTATTTTTTTTTTCTTATTTACTCGCTCATGCACGAGGTAGGGTAGACCACGCAAAAAAGAACCTGTGGTGGATGCGTGTAAAAAAATATATATTTGTGTATTCATCGGTCCACTGTCCTATGGTTTCTATACATGTAAAACTACATTTGTTTACTCTCTAGGTGAGGTACAAAATATCTCCGCGTCGCACTCTCTCAGTTTGAAAAAATAATGATTGGGATTTCAAATGCAGTCCACCCTACCTCGGTCTACGTGAAATAATCTGATTATCAATCGTCACAACTACAATATATATATATATCGTACTATTTGTTGGAATATGACGTTCGACGAGGCTGTCGGTCCAATAATAAATAAGGCATAGACGCTTTTATCTCTCCGTCGACTAACTGCACGAATCTTCGTTGATCGAAGCCGTCGTCTACTTCTCGTCGCTTCGTGCGCACTTTTTTTACTCACACTACAAGCTACGCATTTTTATCAACCGTACAGTTGACCCCGGGAGGTAAATCTATTTAAAAGTGGTGGGGCACGTGATAGCGTGCCATTCGCTTTGTTTTTTTTTTCATGTGAGGGTGACATTTTTTATTTTCATGTTATTTCCTGTTCTTGCATCCTGCGTGAAACATATTGTATACACTTGAATTATCACAATATATACGTATGCTTAGGTATGTATAATATGGAATGAACCTGGAAACCGAAAGATATATAATAATGTACCCTGAAAAGACTGCAGTTGGCACAATGTAAAACGAAAAGTCAGTTGTTGTCGGATCGTGTATGTGGGCGACCAACAGCTCGACTTTGCCTGGACTTCTTTCTCTTCAGATTACGTACGTAAACATTTTTGCGGCTCTTCATGATAACTTTTATTTGAAGTTTGTACCACAAGTTTTGTGAAACATTCAATGCACAAAATTTCAATACCACTATAGTTAAATGTCAATTGTTATTCAAAACAAGGTATCGCGTTAAACTGTAGTCATGAAAAATAGTATTTCCTTTTTGATTGACGAGAAAATTTTGTGTATATCGTTGTGGTCGGTGCTATGAAGTAGGCAAAAATGCTTACGTCGAAGAAAAAAAAGACTAATCGAGCTGGGGTTGCTGTGACCACTTGTGACCTGTATTATCAGAGATTGCGGGTAAGAGTATATCTAAATGGCTGTGGGAGAATAGGGGATCCATAGGTAATTTAGTTGAATATAAATATGGTTTAGTGGGGAGTGGCCGGTATTCACTTTTATTAGCTTCGTTCGCTTGTACCATAATAAACCTATGTATATTATATACGTATATTGCTTAGTGTTTACTATAATATTTATATATATACCGTGAGTAAATCATCGTCTCTGTTACGTGTACAAACGCGGTGGCGGCAGCTTGTTTTTTTTTTTTTTTTACTTTGTTTCATTGGAATCGTTCGTTCATCTTCGTGCGTACAGTATGAAAAAATATTCCAACTCTCGAGGACGCGTCGTATTGTTTTATTTTAATTTTTTAATTTTTTGTTTTCGTTTGCCTCCATGGTATTCTTATGTAGGCTGGTTTTCTTCGATCATCTCTCTTGCTCTCTCGTTTTTTCAGTGCACAAACCAATCCCGCAATTTCTCCGCTATCGTAATTTGATGCTGATAATGGTAATTACTTAATTGCTTTTAATTTTTTTTATTGATTTGTTGATTATTTTTTTTCACTATTTTATTTTATTATAAAATTTATTGCATTTGGTTGGGTCGCGCGCGCGAGCTCAATCCGTTTTTATTACTATTATTTTTACCAAACTTTTTTTTTATATATAAAGCATGGCGCGCGGTTGTATTATTCTTTATTTTGTGGTTTAAAAAAATAAAAAGGCCATCGCGATCGTCGGGCGCGCGACTCGACCTTGTGACCCCGAAAACGTATTTGCAGCTGCCTATTACAATTTTTTTTGTCTACGATTCATGCTATGTATATTTTTCTTTCGCAGTTAGCATTTACTACATTTTTTTCTTCCTCGTCAGCGACGATTTTACCATCGAGCGCATATACAAGACAACGTGGTTTTTTTTTTTTTTACAACGTCGTTTAAATGACAATTTGTATTTGCTTATTCTTTACCTGCAGGTAAACATGTCTTGCATATTCGCTTTCCTTTTTTTTTTTATCTTATAATTAATAATTTTTTTTTTTTTTTTTTTTTTTTTTTTTTTTTTTTTTTTTTTTTT